ATTTGCTCTTCACTGTTTCTCTTCTGGGATCCTTAACAGTTTAGTTAAAAACAGTATATTACTTTCTTATTATATTCATGTGTTGTTAGTTGTTTAGGCAGTGTATAATGAAAGCTGTACCATGGCCATTAATTGTCTTATAAGTTATTCTGATAATGTTTGGAGATAGCTATACCATGACCATTCATGTCTTATAAAAGTTATCCTGATAATTTGTGGAGATAAGCTGTACCATGGTTCATGTCTTATAATGAATACAAATGTGTTGAGATAGCTGTACCATGTCCTAATAGTTCTCAGATACATCAGCTCATCAGGTTAGCACTAAAAGCTGAAACATGACTAACTAATCCACATTACACTAATTGCAGATTAGCTCTGTTGGCAGAGATTCATCCGCTGCACTAGAGCAGAGGTTCATTAGATACTCACTCCCCACCATCCCATCTGTATTATAGGTTTAAGCACATAAGCAAGAGGTTCATGATTATGGCAACTGTGTTTGTATTTATGATTTAGAGAATCTGAAATTGCAGAATTATTATATTTAAATGTTACAGATTTTGAAGTAGTTTATTCTTTAAAAACAAAAAAACAAAAAATTTAATTATTGGTATCTATACATTGAATCAAGAAATAAAAAATAATTAGGCCTAATAGGCATTGGTAGACATATATAATAAAACACATTAAGAATCATTTAGTGTCTTTGTTTTGTACTGCCAATTAAGTTTTTTTACTATATTAAAACTGAGTTTTGTAGTTGTCATTACTGGTGTGCATGTCTTAACTTTGACTAATTGGTGATAGCACATTTAAGAATACTGTATGAGCTGATACTAGGCTAGAAAAAAAAATCCAGTTCAAGAGTCAAACATCTTAAATCTTTGTAGTTTGTATCATTATGTTCTGTGTTAAAGTGTTCGGAAGTAAAATTTATGAGTGAAGTGAAATATTCAGAAGCCAAGTCTGCATCACTTGTTCTACTTTGTCCTGTAGATCAACAGTACACTAACACAGGCTGGTACACCTAAGTATGTTGTACTGGTGACACACACTTGCATACTGTCATTGTATGGTTGATTGTCTTGACTGGTGTATAACAATCTTAAAACACAGGCTGGTACACCTAAGTATGTTGTACACATGCATACTGTCACTCTATGGTTGAATGTCTTGATATACTGTCTGTATAGTTAAATTTCTTGACATACTGTCTGTATTATGAATGTCTTGACATACTGTCACTGTATTGTTGAATGTCTTGACATACTGTCACTGTATTGTTGAATGTCTTGACATACTGTCACTGTATTGTTGAATGTCTTGACATACTGTCACTGTATTGTTGAATGTCTTGACATACTGTCACTGTATTGTTGAATGTCTTGACATACTGTCACTGTATTGTTGAATGTCTTGACATACTGTCACTGTAGTGTTGAATGTCTTGATATTACTGTCACTGTATTGTTGAATGTTTTGATATTACTGTCACTGTATTGTTGAATGTCTTGACATACTGTCACTGTATTGTTGAATGTCTTGACATACTGTCACTGTATTGTTGAATGTCTTGACATACTGTCACTGTATTGTTGAATGTCTTGACATGCTGTCACTGTAGTGTTGAATGTCTTGATATTACTGTCACTGTATTGTTGAATGTCTTGACATACTGTCACTGTATTGTTGAATGTCTTGACATACTGTCACTGTATTGTTGAATGTCTTGACATGCTGTCACTGTATTGTTGAATGTCTTGACATGCTGTCACTGTATTGTTGAATGTCTTGACATACTGTCACTGTATTGTTGAATGTCTTGACATACTGTCACTGTATTGTTAAATATCCTGACTGCTGTAAAACAATGGCAGACCTCTTCCACCCCACACAAATAAGATGTGAAAACGTCATTTTTAAAATTTACTTTATTTTAGCCTCCAATAAAAACAAGTTAATTAAAAAAGTCTAGTGACATTTATGCGCAATTTCCTTATGTTATCTAAAAATAGCTCTGACGTATAATGCTGGGATGCGTTCAAGCTAGAAGAACAATCGGTTTGTAGGTGTTTTTGTAATTTTAAAATTTGTGACCAAACGAGAGGATATTTTTGAAAACTTTCTTCGGCAATATTGCTCTAAATTATGGCAGGAATCGATTGGTACATGTTTCAAGTCGCTAAGTGGTCTGGTTGACGAGATATGGGCCAAAAACTGCTTTTTTTCGAGGTTTTTTGGCTTTTCCGGGAAATACATGAAAGAAACCCGGAATTTTTATGGCCTATGCTCATTCTTGTAACTTGCTTAACATAATTGCTTTTGGAACTAGTCATCGATATTGCTTCGTTGAGGAGGAGATACGACTTAAAGCCCGGACACACATTCATCCATACATTCATCCATCCATCCATCCATCCAGAAATGACGCGTTAATAAACGCAATTCTCCAGAATGGAAATTGCGCTAAAAATTAAAAACATAATTCAATTAAGAACTAATTAATGAAAATGTGGCCACTCCAGCTGAGGTGGCAGCAACACAGAGACCAGGTGCAGTTTAAGATGCCATATTATCCTCATCATCACTGGCTTGCTCATTGCTGCGTTAAGATCTCTGTGTTTTTTGTCTATCTAGGAATTATTTGATTCTGAACATGTAGTAATACACAAATTTCCCCCCTCCCAAGGACTTTCATCTATCAATGTTAATCAATGATGTTTTCCTCCCAGGATGTTTTATCTTTCAAATGTTGATCTATGGTGTTTCCCCACCCCCATGACTTTATCTTTGGTGTTTTTTCCCCAGGACTTTCATCTTCCCAGTGTTGATCCGAGGAGGCAAGCCAACTCCAATGATTCCATTTGTAATGGCTATTTTCTTTTGTGTAGTCAATGGCTATCTACAGTCCTCTCACCTTCTAAAGTTCTCACAGCTTGAGTGGGGGCCTGAATCTTATGGCAGGATAACATTAGGTGAGTTGGGGGTTTTGTTGGGGTGGGGATGGGTTGGGTTTGTGTAGGGGTGGGGATGTGTTGTTTTGTAGTAGGGGTGGGGATGTGTTGTTTTGTAGTAGGGGTGGGGGTGTGTTGTTTTGTAGTAGGGGTGGGGGTGTGTTGTTTTGTAGTAGGGGTGGGGGTGTGTTGTTTTGTAGCAGGGGTGGGGATGTGTTGTTTTGTAGCAGGGGTGGGTGTAATCACAACATTAGGTGAGTTGGGTTCATGTTGGGGTGGGGATGTGTTGTTTTGTAGCAGGGGTGGGTGTAATCACAACATTAAGTGAGTTGGGTTCATGTTGGGGTGGGGATGTGTTGTTTTGTAGCAGGGGTGGGTGTAATCACAACATTAGGTGAGTTGGGTTCATGTTGTGGTGGGGATGTGTTGTTTTGTAGCAGGGGTGGGTGTAATCACAACATTAGGTGAGTTGGGTTCATGTTGGGGTGGGGATGTGTTGTTTTGTAGCAGGGGTGGGTGTAATCACAACATTAGGTGAGTTGGGTTCATGTTGTGGTGGGGATGTGTTGTTTTGTAGCAGGGGTGGGTGTAATCACATTAGATGAGTTGGGGTTTTGTTGGGGGTGGGGGCGTGTTGTTTTGTAGTAGGGGTGTAATTTGTAATCACAACGTTAGGTGAGTTGGGATGAGGATCTGTTGTTTTGTAGTAGTACTAGTAGGGGTGTAATCACAGCATTAGGTGAGTTGGGTTCATGTTGGGGTGGGATGTGTTGTTTTGTAGCAGGGGTGGGTGTAATCACATTAGATGAGTTGGGGTTTTGTTGGGGGTGGGGGCGTGTTGTTTTGTAGTAGGGGTGTAATCACAACATTAGGTGAGAAAACATTCAACTGTAGTTTTGTGATGACGGGAATAGTCAGACGGTGGGGGCACTGGTCTGAAAATATTCAAGCCTGAATGGGACCACCCTTGTTGTTTATTACATTTAACACCTGCATGGTTGGAAATGGGGGCAAACAGTCGCCCCGTAAACATTCAACAGTCATCCGTAAAACACGGTTGGGGGGGGGGGGTCGGTCGCACGTAAACTGGATAGGGTGGGTCGGGGAGTTGGTTTTAAACAGGGGTTGGACGATGAGAGAGAGAGAGAGAGGGGGGGGGGGGGGGGTAGTAGCCTGATTTATATTCTGTTCCAACGATTCACATCAAATTCATAAGGTCTTTCCTTGTGGCTGCCTCCGTGTTCAAGCCGTAACTGGTTGTTTTCTTCCTTAGAAAGATGAAAAAAAAAATCCGCATTTGATGTTCAGTCGAAATGTGGCGTTCTGCGATGCAATAATAAAACGCGCGTATACGTACGTGTGTGTAGGGGGGGGGGGGAGGGAGGGTTCCCTTTACATACATCAACATTAAAACAAAAGCTACTCCCCCCCCCCCCCCCCTCTAGCCTAGTTTTGAGTCAACTACGTCAGCTGCTTGTTGTACCAATTACCCAGTGTAGAACTTACAAAGGGAGGTAAAATAAAATGAACATATAAATACAGGCAGGATTGTATTCCACGCGGATAGACACAGAAGCGTTGCTTTATAAAATAACGAGCCGTCCACATCTACAAGGAGGAATTAAACTTAACTCTTTCAACTTTCAGGTATCTCTTCGGGAGGCACTACCCCCTCCCCCCCTTTCCAAAATGTGCACCCTTCGCCACCCCCTCACGAAATTGAATTTATATAGAAAATATATACTTTACCAATGCATGTCCCCCCCCCCCCTCGGGAGAAAATAAGTCGGAAAGAAACATTGCTAAAATTGTTTATTTATCGATTGAACTCTATATTCATTAACAAAACCACATTAATTCAGCTGATTAAATTACGGGAAAACAAGAAGTTAAATACGGGGTTTGTTGCGCATCCAACACTGAAGGTAAACACCCACTTACCATCTAGATCAGGGGTTCCCAACCGTGTGCCCGCCTCTCACTATTCGACAGTGACAGATTTTTTTTCATAGACATTATTGAAAGGTTGAAGGGGGATGGAAATCGAAAGTTTGAGGGGGGGGGGGGGTGCAAATCGAAAAATCGAAAGTTTGAGGGGGGGGGGGGTGCTACGCCTCTGGAAGGAGTTTGTCGATTTAAAATAGGTGGTGCCCGCCTCCCTACCGATATTTTAGAATGTGCTCTAGAGTAAAAAAAAAGGTTGGGAACCCCTGATCTAGATAACCAGTGCGAACGGAAACCAAAAAAAAATTCTTCACCGACATGGACCGGGGGTAATTTTTTGTTACCTCCCGTTGATGTCTAACGAACATGGACACGGCTGTCTAGATTGTGTCCCTGATGACCCAGCTACACTTGATGGGGTCCTGTCACTTCTCTCCTCCCCACCTGTCATGTTTGTACTCAGAATTTTCTAGATATTATGTTCCACCCCCCCCCCCATCCCCTCCCCTCTCCTCTCTACTCTCTTCCTTCTTGGCGTCTGATCGAATACACTGGTACTGTTAGTCCTATGCAGGGGGGAAAAAAGGGTGGGGGTGGATGGACATGCTGTGGTCGGTTTCACGGGTCCTTTGAACTTTCTTCAACAATCAGGTTTCTTCTTTGAAATCGGCCTTTTCTTTTTGGTGGGTTTTCTAAGGCGTGGACGACCCCCCCCCCGCCCCCGCTCCCCCAACCTTCACACGAGTAGCCCCTATCGTGGTTTAATTTTTCTCAAATGGTAGCGACACCAACAGCGCAGCGGTCACACTATGGGATACCATGGGTTGTCTGATCAACCGCGCCCAGTGGCGAAACCTGTTGGATACCGGTTATAAGGTGGCCGACCCTGTTGGATACCGGTTATAAGGTGGCCGACCCTGTTGGATACCGGTTATAAGGTGGCCGACCCTGTTGGATACCGGTTATAAGGTGGCCGACCCTGTGCCCCCTTAACTGTCAAGTCAGCCAGTCGGTCATTTCTACCTTTGCCAACCCGCGAGCCTTTTGCAGTTTGATTAATCAACCTGCCAGCCATGTATAGCTTGGCCAACCTGCCATTATTTTTTACAACTAGTTTGGCCAACCGCCCGCCAACCGGCCAACCATGCTCTCTTTGGCCAACCTGAGAAACGTTTACTTTTTGATCAACCTGCCAACCATGTACAGCTTGGCCAACCTGTTTAACCAGCATTGGGGGGGGGGGGGGGGGGAGGCAACGACACCACCAACGAAACGTTTGACATGCGGGCTTAATTCAAATACTCGATGACGCACCCAGTCGCTGGCTGGCTGGTCTATTACTAGATCCGCACATTCAGGGACTCAGGCATTGTTTCAGCTCAGCAATCTTAATTAGGACACAGGTGTTTCATCGCTTGATTGACACATGTTGTTTAAACAGACGATCACCCGTGTGTATGTGTGTGTGACACACATTTAACAGCCAGTACCCACTAAATCCTTCTACAGTTACTTCCTAAACCTACAACTAATGTCCTCAAAACCCTATAAGCAGTACCCACATAACCCTATAAGCAGTACCCACAAAACCCTAGAACCAGTAATTACGAAACCCTATAACCAGTGTACACGAAACCCTATAACTAGTACCCAAAAACCCTATAACCAGTAACCAGAAAACCCTATAACAACTCTAGAACCAGTACCCACAAAACCCTAGAACCAGTGCCCACAAAACCCTAGAACCAGTACCCACAAAACCCTAGAACCAGTACCCACATAACCAGTACCCACAAAACCCTAGAACCAGTACCCACAAAACCCTAGAACCAGTACCCACAAAACCCTAGAACCAGTACCCACAAAACCCTAGAACCAGTACCCACAAAACCAGTACCCACAAAACCCTAGAACCAGTACCCACATAACCAGTACCCACAAAACCCTAGAACCAGTACCCACAAAACCCTAGAACCAGTACCCACATAACCAGTACCCACAAAACCCTATAACCAGTACCCACAAAACCCTAGAACCAGTACCCACAAAACCCTAGAACCAGTACCCACATAACCAGTACCCACAAAACCCTAGAACCAGTACCCACAAAACCCTATAACCAGTGCCCACAAAACCCTATAACCAGTACCCACAAAACCCTATAACCAGTGCCCACAAAACCCTAGAACCAGTACCCACAAAACCCTAGAACCAGTGCCCACAAAACCCTAGAACCAGTACCCACAAAACCCTAGAACCAGTACCCACATAACCAGTACCCACAAAACCCTATAACCAGTGCCCACAAAACCCTATAACCAGTACCCACAAAACCCTAGAACCAGTGCCCACAAAACCCTAGAACCAGTACCCACAAAACCCTAGAACCAGTACCCACATAACCAGTACCCACAAAACCCTATAACCAGTACACACAAAACCCTAGAACCAGTACCCACAAAACCCTAGAACCAGTACCCACAAAACCCTAGAACCAGTACCCACAAAACCCTAGAACCAGTACCCACAAAACCCTAGAACCAGTACCCACAAAACCAGTACCCACAAAACCCTAGAACCAGTACCCACAAAACCCTATAACCAGTACCCACAAAACCCTATAACCAGTACCCACAAAACCCTATAACCAGTACCCACAAAACCCTAGAACCAGTACCCACAAAACCCTAGAACCAGTACCCACATAACCAGTACCCACAAAACCCTAGAACCAGTACCCACAAAACCCTATAACCAGTGCCCACAAAACCCTATAACCAGTACCCACAAAACCCTATAACCAGTGCCCACAAAACCCTAGAACCAGTACCCACAAAACCCTATAACCAGTGCCCACAAAACCCTAGAACCAGTACCCACAAAACCCTATAACCAGTGCCCACAAAACCCTAGAACCAGTACCCACAAAACCCTAGAACCAGTACCCACATAACCAGTGCCCACAAAACCCTAGAACCAGTACCCACAAAACCCTATAACCAGTGCCCACAAAACCCTAGAACCAGTGCCCACAAAACCCTAGAACCAGTACCCACAAAACCCTATAACCAGTGCCCACAAAACCCTCAAAACTCTCCAATTCTTAATTCACTACAAACGAAGCCGCATGTCTTTAAATATAGCCTGATCAGCCTCTCTCCCTTCAATATAATCGAAAATTACATAAATCAGCTTTATTGTCGATTTAATTGCTGTTTTATTCTACAGATTTATTGACTGTTTTGTCTCACCAAATTTATTGACTGCTGTGTCTCACCAATCATATTGACTGCTGTGTCTCACCAATCATATTGACCGTTTTGTCTCACCAAATATATTGACTCTGTGTCTCACTAACCCGTATCACCAGTCGGAAAATCGCTAATTAGGTTTCTACAGAAATAACTGTCATGACGCAACCAAGGCCAACGACCACCACCTGCGGTGAAATCTGTAACCAGACTGTTCACGTCACTGAGTTAATGTTGTATCCTCTCTGTCGGGACACTGGCCGTATGGCGTGTACTGCAACCTATAAAGTGAATTAAACGGATATAATTTTAAAAATACATCATACTGATCATGAACTTAATACTTACTGTGGACGGACTGCAGCCCCTCCCCCCCCCCTCACCCTTTCCTTCCGCTGTCCAGATGATCATCTCCTTGTCAACGGCAAACAGTGTGACACTTGGGTGATCTCCCTTGCCATGCTAGGCCTAATTGCTTCTAGTTCACATAGGTCGCTCACCCAGACTGGCTTCCCTTGAATTTCTAATCTAAACACCCGACCAATGGTCCAACCAAGTAGTAGACCACTTCAGTTGTCTGATGCCAGTATTTAGACACACTACCCACTCAAACATTTGTAACATAGGTTTATTAATTTGAAACACTGACAAAAAGTAAATTAAAATGTACTATTTTTATTTTTGAAATATTTTATAGATGACAAATGCGGGGGTCATGGCCAGTGTGAGTACTCATTACTCACTTTGGCCATTCAGTACTACTAAAATGCGACCATCAGTGTTGTAAGCAATGTTCCCTCTGCGCTTTTGCGCGGCCGCGCAGTAGTTTTGAGCTGTCACGCAGTGGATTTCGTAAAATACTTTTATCCTTATAGACTTTTAGAAAACCCCACACACAAATTACACATTGCTCGCTAGCTTTTTCCTCTTAGAGTGAACATTGTTTGTAAGATCTGATGTTTTGTCTGTCTGCAGGTACCATCATCTTCCTGTCTGGAATGGCCATCAACATCCACTCAGACCATGTCCTTAGGAACCTGAGGAAACCCGGAGAAACAGATTATAAAATACCTTATGGTCAGTTTTTTTACATTTCACTCGTTAATTCTTAGTTCTTCATCAAGATTCTATTCATGGGTTCGTGGTATTTTTTATGCATTTGATTTGTTATGTTATTGCTGGCATGTTTAAAAAGTGGATTGAGGATAAAAATATGTTTGAACCAAAGAGAATTTCACTGTTTAGTATGGGACTGTTTTAATAACATAATAGAATGTGACTTTTTAGTATGATTCTTTTTAATATAATAAAAGGTGACTGTTTGATATGTGATTTTTACTTTCTCGTATACAGAGTATAGAGAAAGTATTGTAATCGTGCACAAAAATCACTTGCAATTTTGACAGTTTTGACGTATTACACCTCAGCCCTTCATCACCTCCAAAGTATAGAGGACTTATTTTAATCGGGCAAAAATTATCAATCCAGATTTATCAAAATTGTGGGGTTTTATGCGTAATCCAATCTGAAAAACTGGGCTTTGCAATTCTGTCCGTGTGTAAACACGATAACTTGAGTACCGTTACAGCTAGGTTGATAAAATTTATATATAAGTATTTTATAAAAATCGTAGATCCGTATCAACTTTTGAGCGATTTCCCATAACCGGAAGTGGTACTTTTTCTACTTTGAATTTTTCAAAAGCCTATAACTTGAGTACTATTTCAGATAGATAAATGAAATTTCACATGAAGTAAAAGATCTAATTCTCTACCTTCTGTCAAATTTTGAGTAATTTCCGTTGGCCGGAAGTACTAATTTACGCTATTTCCGATTTCTCAAAAAATACATGTAAATTTATAGAGTACTAATAATATTGTGCACTATTATGCACATTTTGTTTTGGCATTCGCTTAGTGCGCAATTCTTTTTTCTACGAGATTCTATTATATTTTTAAAAGTATAAGTAATTAAAAATCATGTCTATATTCCGAGTTATGTAAGAATATTCGAGAAAGTTTAGGGGAGATCACTCCCGGATTATTTTTTAATATAATAAAATGTGACTGTTTGATATGTGATTTTTTAATAACATAACAAAATGTGACTGTTTAGTATGTGATTTTTTAAATAACATAACAAAATGTGACTGTTTATGTGATTGTTTTAATAACATAATACAATGTGACTGTTTGACCAACCCCCAGGTGGTATGTTCAACTACGTGTCAGGTGCCAACTTTTTTGGCGAGATCTTGGAGTGGGCGGGGTTTGCTGTGTTGAACTGGTCCCTCCCAACCATGGCTTTTGCTGCTTTCACATTGTTCAATGTGGGCCCAAGAGCCATGCAGCATCACAAGTAAGTTGTCTGGCTGTGTAACCCCCATCACCTTCTTTCTGCGTTCTTAATTCTAGTCTTGAAAGGGATCCCCTCCAACACAATTAAGTATTACGTGTCAACTGGGTATGCGCCATATAGGCTGTTGACTCAGATTTCAGCCTGCTTTTCTTTTTGGATTTGCTTCCAAAGCCTTTGTCCAACCAAGAACAAACTACAAGGCAGCAGTTGTTTCATTTTGGAGTTGTCTTTCCAAAATGAGTTGCTATCCCCAACTATTCAGCCTCATCTAGCCAAGGTCTGAGACTTTTTGGTTTAACAACCATGAGCTTTATAGACCCCCAGCCCCAATCACCATCATGCATCACAAGTTGTCCGCCATCCACCATCATACATCACAGGTTTTCTGGCTGTGTAGTCCTTACCCAACATAGGGTTTAGAGCTTTGTAGGTGTGCTTGGTATTAGAAGGGATAGTGTACGCCCTCTAGTCTTTACCTTCCCTAAGTCAAGTTCTCAATCGAGCTAGGTGTACTCAGAGACACTATGAGCATGAATTGGGAACTGAACTTGACACTTTAAAGTTATCAGGCATGTGCCCTACCAGACAGCTAAGATTTGCTCCTTATGGAACATAGTGCCTCCACCATTTCCTTCTATTTCTTCCGATCCCTGGCTATTAATTTTGCCATCTCCCAAGACATCCCTGTTGGCTTCAGTTCTTCAAGAAGACTCCATCTCCAGGTCTGTCTTGGGCGCCCTCTCTTCCGCTTTCCCTGGGGGTTCCACTCAAGTGCCTGGCGTGTCACATTTGGGCGAGCTTTTCACCAGACAGTGATGCTATTCAATAACCCCTTCTATATCAGCTTTCATGTCTTATTCACCACGGCTTATACATCAACTTGTTAACATACATCATACTATGTCATACTTGTTGCTTTTATCTTTCATAAATCAACAATACATACACATAAATGTTTTCTGTATACACATCAAACATCATCATGGTCTTACGTTAGCATACATGTTTTTGTTAGTCTTCATTTTTCACACACCATTAGACTTGAAGAGCCTCCTAGATAATGACCCTCCTAATTAGTTTATCTGCTGTTCTGCTTTGATATAAGGACCACTTGACCAAGTGGTATCGTATATGACTGCTATTATGTCTTGAGTTCGAATCCAGGTTTAAGTCCGTAGAACATCCCTTACTCCACCCATCTCTGATGGGTACCTGACTCATGTTAAGGAAAGTAAAGGTAGCAGGGCATAGTGCTGACCACTATCTCATATGCCAAGGTTATAGGAGAAACAAGTGAACTCTACTTAACCTGCCACATAGACCATCAGATTTAAATGGGAACTTTGCTTTTATTATAATATTACTCACAAAGATGACATGTATCTCTTGTCTTGCAGGTGGTACCAGAAGAAGTTTGAGAAGTACCCCAAGTCCAGGAAGGCGCTGATTCCATTTGTCTTATAGGAGTTTAGGCCTGCTACAGACAGGGGCTGTAAGGGAGCACTCTTGTTTACTTTGTGTTTAAGTCAACTGCAGGTCAGAGGTCAATATTTGTAACATACTAGATCATTGGATGATTCCTATAAGTTAGAGTTAGGGGTTAGGTTTTAGTTAGTAGACATCTGACGAGAGAGGTCATGACTTTGTCACACACCACTTGAATTTGTATCGTCCCAGTGACTTAAGAAATAGATGGCTCACATGACTTTGGTTTTTTTTGTCCTGCATTTTTGGTTCTAATTTCTCTGTCTTTGATCTAAACATGTTTGAAATTAACCTTGTGTCACTTGGTGTGTTGATTGCAGACAGGAGGTTAAGCTATATAGGGCTTCATTTAAAGTCTTGTCTCATAGGGACTACATTTAAAGGCTTGTCTCATATGGACTTCATTTAAAGACTTATCTGATAAGGACTATATTTAAAGACTTGTCTCATATCATCTGTTTAAATTTAAAGAATTGTCTCAAATGGGCTACATTAAAACTTTCAAAGAATAAAAAAGTATCATGTTTAGCTATACATTTTCTAATTGAACATACAATTATAGATGGATACATTTTAAGTCCATATGATGAAGTTGGCTTTGCAATTTGTGTTTGGGCATTAAACTTGTGTATTTATGCAAGCAAACGACCTATCCCATGTTTTTTTTTGTTGTAACCCAAGATGCATTCATAATATAATAACCATTTACAGACTAAGATTTTTTCATAGTTTAAAGTAAAATTCTTTTACCTGACTGAAATAAGAAACAACACAATATTTTTTTTTATTTTTACAATTTTGTTTCAATTTTTTATAATACAAATGGCAAGTTGTAAATTAAAGAAAAAAAAAACATGTTTGCATAATATGTAGATTTACTTCTGTGTGTTCTGAAAAATTTCTGCATAATTTTTTTTAACCCAAGTGCTAGCTGTGGCAGCAATTTAATTATTTTTTTTTTGGACCCAACAATTTTGGTCATTCCTGTTGATATATGGTTTTGGTTATGCAAAAATGAAATACATTTGTTCCTAATATATTTATGCATTGCTTCAGATGAAATAAATTTTTGTTGAGCCTGAAGATGGATGTCGATGTATATTTTGTTATTTTCTGGCTACAAATGTGGGGCTACTAACATTTTAATTTGTTCCACTGATTTTTTTACAATTCCCTGTGTTGCATTTAACTTTTTAATAGCTAAATACTTATTTATACAATAATTTTGTGTCATTTTGTTTTATGTGATAAATTGTGTCAGTTGTGTTTATTGTATGTAAGATGGAATAAAAATCTGCTGAATCACATTGTTCTGTGTTGGCACTAGGTTTCTTTTTGTTGTTGATGCAAGTTGTTTGTTTCTTCTTGCTAGTGATGTGTTGGTGTTATTTCAATAACATGGTACCAGCTAAGTAAAACAAGGTACCCTATAACATGGTACCAGCTAAGTAAAACAAGGTACCAGCCAACTATAACATGATACCAGCCAACTATTACATGGTACCCTATAACATGGTACCAACAAAAATAACATTGTACCAGGCAACTATAACATGGTTACTAGCCAACTATAATGCGGTACCAGTTAACTAAAACATGGTACCAGCTAACTATAACATGGTACCAGTCAATTATAATATGGTACCAGCCAACTATAACATGATACAAGCCAACTATAACATGATACAAGCCAACTATAACATGGTACCAGCTAACTATAACATGGTGCCAGCAAACTATAACATGGTACCAGCTAACTATAACAAGGTACCAGCCAACTATAACAAGGTACCAGCCAACTATAACAAGGTACCAGCCAACTATAACAAGGTACCAGCCAACTATAACAAGGTACCAGCCAACTATAACAAGGTACCAGCCAACTATAACAAGGTACCAGCCAACTATAACAAGGTACCAGCTAACTATAACATGGTACCAGTTAACTATTATTTATAACATAGATGACGACACACTTTTGCATTTTAAAATGTAATGTTAGAGACTTACTTTTATCCTTACTTCGCTTTTCTAAAAGTCAGTTTTTGTATACTGTAATAGAAATTGATGAATATACTCAATTAGGGGACGGAGTGGTCTAGCGGTAGAGAGCTGGACTGCTAAGACTGCCAACCTGTAAGTCTCAAGCTCGAATCTGGGGTTAAGTCAGTAAACCAGCACTGATGTTCCTAACTCACGTGAGGGTAATTAAAGGCGGCCGGGCATAGTGCAGACTACACTATCTCTTCATATGCCGAGGCCACAGAAACAGGTGAACTCTACTTCACTTGCCCCATAACTGGCAGGTTTGAAAAAGAACTTTACTGTACTCAATGTTCACCAAGAACAGTACATATTTTAGAAAGGAAATCTGTTTTAAAACCCAAAACTGCAGTGTGGAGTGAAGTGTGACGTAATTTTAGGCAATCTTCGACGATGGGGAGGGGAAAGGGGTAAACGCGTCCCAAAAAAGCGTGACAATAGTCTATAGATTTGTTTCATATTGTTATAGATTTGTATCAGTTGTTTCCCATTTAGAAAATTCAATGAGACTAGGGGATACAAGCTATAACTTTATTCCTAAAATGTGTTAAAAACACAGGAAATATTTAATGCTACAAAATAGAATAGTTAATTGTTTATAAGTGAGTACTAAAGTTTTCTGTAGCTTTTAGATAATTTGAGTAATTCATTGAATTATATAATGATTTGAGTCTAATTTAAATAATAAACAATGGCACAATTAAATACTTAATATTTCGATTAGCAAAATATTCATCGTACTGTTAATATATTGATCAACCACCACAATGTTTTCATTCTTGGCTTATTGAAAATGTGTAGCTTGGATTACACATAAACAAGAAATGGGGCACGAAGAAGAAGAAGAGCATCATTCAGCATCACCCCAAAATAGTGGAAATTTCAAGTTTCAGAATGTTGCAATGGCTTTATTTAAAGTTTTCGACGGGCAAGTGACTTTTGTACGAGCGAAGGTGGTGTTACCTATTCAGAGCAGGAACCAAACCAAGTATTATCACAGGCGTGTCAATAGGGTCCCAACAGTTTGCATCTATAAAGCTGACCAGCAGTTCCACAGAGACAGGGTGGTTGACAGCGATATTGTCAGGATTCTGAGGCAAAGAAAGATTGAATACTATGCGTGGGAAGGTCCTGATAAAAAATACAAATGTCAACAGATTGAAGAAGATTATAACCAGGCGGCTGATAACTGGTTCATCAAATATGGTGATATGAGAAGCGAGCGAGGTGCTTTAGAGGCCTACATGAAACAGAAACATAGACTTATTTGGGAGAGAAGGAATCCAGGTAAAAAAATTACACTGAATAAATAGTTCTATTCAAGATACTAGTTTTTAAATAAATGAACTAATGAGAATGTGTATACTCGCTGTTGATGTCAAGTCTATGAAAACGTAGTTGATTAAAAGAAAAAAAAATTGTGTTAACAGTTCAATCTGATTAGCCAATATTTTTATTTTCATTATTGATTCAACTGACCTAAAAATAAGGACAATTAAAGCAATTTTCCTGTTATAAAAACATTATTCATCTTGTTTTCAGTGCTTTAGTTTTCAAAATAGCCATGTTTTGAAACTTTTTTTAACTTGCTGATTTTCAGTTGAATAAAAATGTGTAACCTGTCAAAAAAAAAAAAAATTGAAATTTGTACTTTTCTGTAATTTTCAATAATAAACTAATCGTTCAATAAAAAATATTTAAAGAACTAAAAATACAGAAAAAGACTGAAAAATATATAAGTAAGCACCACTATTAAATAACTTAAAGAAAAGGGTCTCTTAGAATTTTTGTTAGGGTATTCAAAACAACAAAGCGACCCACGCTTTTCTTTAGTTACTTAAATAATGGTGCTTAATCGTGTTTACGAATTCTAACAAAATAATTTGGCATTACTTCCCTTTGACTAGATCTCGAACCAAATATTTTGTCCTCACTTGGAAGGTTCAAGTGCCATCCCCCCCCCCCCCCTCTCTGAAAGCCCTGAATAAAACCCCGAATACGTCTCGTTTTAATCAAACATTTAATATATTACAAGGGATAGCAATCCATGATACTGGACTAATTTGCACAAATTTGCACAGAGGCGTCGCGAGGCGGGGTTGGGGGTGCGGGAGACACCACTTAAGGGGTGACACTGTGACACCTTGGCGAAAACTGACAAAATATATAGAAGAAATATGCTTTTTGTCAATTCTATTAAGGGTTAATCCACATGTATTAATAACTGACTATAAACAACCATCTTTTCTACTGTGCACACTTTAAAACTATCACCCGGAGGAGGCGGGGTGACACCAACTGCAAAATTTACAGAGGAAAGTAGGTTTTGTTGAGTATTTGGAGTAACTGATACGTTAATCAAAGACCGGGAGGGGGGCGACACTAAAATGTAATAATTTACGATGTAAACCATCTTTTCCACTTGAATTAATAGTTAGATTAATATAATGCAACACATTAGTCCAGCAGTACAACACACACACACACACACACACACATATATATATATATATATATATATATATATATATATATATATATATATATATATATATATATATACTTTGCTTCTTGACAGTGGGGGGGGGGGGGTGACACCACGAAGTGCCGCACCGGGTGACACCCGACCTAGCTACGCCACTGGATGGGCGTTCGTTATGTTTTATATATGTTACCCTGGGCGTCCGTGCAATGAGTATTGTACCCTAGACTTTTTAAAAAGTTGAGTACGCTAAGTTATATACTTAATGTCAAAAAGAAAAAGGGAAGCTTTGGGATTTAGCATGCAGGTTCCTCTGGCGTCAGTCAGCCAATACCTAAGGCTAAGCCAATAAAAGTTTCCTGATTTCTTTATGATCCGTATAGGATTTAGTGTCAGCATCGTCTTTTTAAACAGAGCTTTTAAAACTTACATAGTATATTTATTAATATTATTGGGAGAACTCAGCCATTGTTTGGTCCCAAGTTCTGAATGAGAAAGGAAGAGGGCCTTGTGTTTGGGAGTTGTAATATTTACTGTTTATGAATTTAAAAAGAAATCTATTTTTCTATATATAAAATTCTCTCCATGGAGGGACCACGCAGGACACCACCACGTAAGCACGCGAGGACCGACACCTCCCACGCTCTCCTACAGGCATACCGCTACCACCCCCACTCACCAGTCTGTGGTGGCTGAGGATGAGAGAACATTCTTTCTAGAGAAAAAAAAATTTGCCTCGTCTAGGTGGTGTATTTATAGAATGTGTGTACACGTTGACGACATAAGACAAAATTTTGTGTGTGTGTGTGTGTGTGTGTGTGTGCGAGTGTGTGTGATTGTGTGTGTGTGTGTGGTGATACTAGTTATCGGACCATGCCCCACTCATTTAGTCAAATATGGCATCTAGAGAGACTAAACTTTTTTTTTAATAAACACATCAACGACGACTCGGTTGGACGATAGAGTGCTAGACTGCTAACCCGAAACTCTCGAGTTTGAATCCCGGACTCGAGCCCGTAGGTCATTCTTGGGTATAACCTAATGAGTACCTGCCCTACGTTAGGAAAAGTAAAGGCGGCTGGGCATAGTGCCAATGAAACTATTACTTCACATCGCGCTTACATGAGTAGATGAGTTCGACTTCACTAGCCTCATTGACCCATGTTGGAATGGGTAACTACTACACCAGAGATGGGAAATAACCCATTAAAAATTATACATGTACATAGGAAAATAGAAACGGCTTGCTGGGTAGTAGACTAGTAAATGGGAAAAGGGAAGAAACTCATGTTTCAACATCCAAAATAAGTATATATATATATATATATATATATATATATATATATATATATATATATATATATATATATATATATAATAAAATATATAGGTCTATAATTCAAGAGTAACGGGTACCAACGGCTAGTAGAATAGAATCTCAGAGAAAAAAGAATTGCGCACCAAGTGACTAGCAAACAATATGTGTGTAATAGTGCGGACTATTATTAGTGTTGTGAAGTGAGTTCTGCACAGGGTCGATGTTTAAATGATAACGTACAAATACGACAACGATCCAATAGAAAGTAAGACAGGCCAGCGTTGATATATTTGTTAGTTTAATTGGACTCTTAAAATACACCACGGACACGACTAAATCTACAATGAGAGACGAGGACACTCACACACTAACACCACAGGACGAAGACTAAAAATAAGACTTCCACACCCTAGCGCAACAAAACCAAGACCTGAAGAAAGTCTACCGTCCCCTTGAACGAAATAGAATTTAATAGAATATATATTCTTTCACCAGGGACCGCCACGTACCCGCTAAAATTTAGTCCTCCTCCCCCCCCCCCCCCCGAAAATTTATGTGCACCCCCCCCCCCTCCTCTCCTTGGAGATAAAGTCTAAAAGAAACACTGGTTGCACTGACTAAAGTTAGACCAGATATCTATAATATAGACCCGTTTCCTACTTTTGGTCGCTGAAACTCAATCATGCGGGACCGGAATAATAGGACTGGTAAGTAGGTCACCAACCAGTTCTGTGGCTCATGTAGGTTTTATTGAGCCGTAGAATTGGTTGGTGATTACTTACCAGCCCTATTGCCGGAAAAAAAACTCTGAATGCAACTTTTGTCAAATTTGAATTTAGGTGCAATGTTTAAGGGTATGACTACCACTGTATTTAGTATCAATGTGCAGTAGTTGCTTGTGTATCAAGGTTATCAAGGTATTGTGGTAAAGTTTAGCGTCAATATACAAAAATAAACCGGGAGTGATCTCCCCTAAACTTTCTCGAATATTCTTATATAAAACAACAGGGGATGGGAACTCGGGCTATTGACATGATTTTTAATCCATTTTAAATACTTCAAGTTTTAAAAATAGAATAAAATCTCGTAGACAAAATTATTGCACGCCAAGTGAACTAGTGAACGCCAAATAAAAAAGTGCACAATAGCGCGCAATATTATTAGTACTTTAAAAATTTACATTAGTTTTTTGAGAAATCGGAAGTAGCGTAAATTACTACTTCCGGTCAACGGAAATTACTCAAAATTTAACAGAAGGTAGAGAATTAGATGTTTTACTTACATGTGAAATTTCATTTATCTATCTGAAATAGTACTCAAGTTATAGGCTTTTGAAAAATTCAAAGTAGGAAAAGTACCACTTCCGGTTATCGATTTTGATAAAATACTTATATATGAAATTTCATCAACCTAGCTATAACGGTACTCAAGTAATCGTGTTTACACACGGACACACACACAGACACACAGACATACGGACAGAATTGCAAAGCCCAGTTTTTCAGACTGGATTACGCATAAAACCTCTTAATTTTGATAAATCTGGATTGATAATTTTTGCCCGATTAAAATAAGTCCTCTATACTTCGGATGTGATGAAGGACTGAGGTGTAATACGGCGAAAATTGTTAAAATTTCAAGTGATTTTTGTGCACGATTACAATACTTTCTCTATACTTCGTGTATACGAGAAAGTAAAAAAGTAGAATGACGTTATTGATGGTTGAGTGAAAAATATAATTAAGAATCGATTGCCGAAAACCATACACATTAATAATGACGTCATTGATAATAGAGAAAAAATTAAATGTCTAATTTAATATGCTAATTTTAGAAACGAATGTATATATACAAAAGTATTATATATAGTAAGCGTTTGTATCAGAATTAATGTTGTGGTTATTAGATGTTTAATGTTTTGTATTAAGTTAAATTTCCTGATACGGTTAAAATGCCGATTCTAGACAAAAATCCTTTTTCAATGACATTTTTTGTTTCCAGAAAAATGTAAAGTTTAAGTGGTGTTTTTGGTTTTGTTAACGGTTTCGGTTTAGAGAAAAAGAGAACATTATTAACCTAGCACCCGTTGTATATCTCCCTCAACGGGCCGTCCATCTCGTGTTTAACATTTTTCATTTTAGCACACACCGACAACACAATCTACAGTCATGAGTCTACACCACTTTATACATCATCAACATCCACACCACACTGGCCATCCACATTAACAGCACAAAACACGACACCACCACACTGCGCGTCATCAGCATCATATCACACTTCATGCACATCCACATCCTGTGGCGTAGCGAGGTCAGCTGTCACCCGGTGCGGCACTTAATGGTGTCACCCCCCACAGGCATAGCGACCCTTCCCGGGGACAAGTTTTCAAATTTTCGATTTGCACCCCCACCCTTAAAATTTCGATTTGCACCCCCACCCTCAAACTTTCGATTTGCACCCCCCCCCCCCCGTCAAACTTTCGATTTCTACCCCCCTCAAGTTTTTTTCTATACATTTTGCTATTTTTTTGCCTTGGTGTCATCCCCCTAAATGGTGTCACCCGGTGCGGTCCGCACCCCCCGTCCCCCCTCGCTACGCCTCTGTCCACATCTACACCACACTGGCCATCCACATTAACAGCACAAAACACGACACTTATATCAACACCACACTACCCGCCATCTGCATCATATTACACTTCATGCACACCCACATCTACACCACACTGCCCGTTATTCACAGCCACAACCAGGTAGGTAAAGTAGTAAAGTTCCCTTTCAAACCTGACGGTCTATAGGACAAGTGAAGTAGAGTTCACTTGTTTCTGTGACCTCGGCATATGAAGAGATAGTGTGGTTAGCACTATGTACAGCCGCCTTTACCTTACCTAACGTCAGTTAGGTACTCATCAGAGATGGGTTGACTCAGGGTCAGTCTACTGCCTTGAACCCGGATTCGAACTCGAGACTTACAGGTTAGCAGTCCAGCTCTCTACCGCTAGACCACTCCGTCACAAAAAACAGGTAGTCTTCGAATAATAAGTGATGCAATATACAAAAGCCGCTCCTTGTGGACCTTCCGGCTTCCATCTCCATCCCAACCTATCACAATACCGACACCTCCACCCATCCTTCCATCCCATAATTTCAACCTCAATTTGTCCCCTACCGCCTACGATGCAACGCCCACATTCAAATTAATCCGCTCCTCTCAACAAAAGAAAAAATGTATTAAAAGTATTATGCAATGATAATATCCATCACGTGTTTCAAAAATGTTTGGCCAATCCCGTAATGGCTAACTGATCACGTGATATTGGATTGTCTCAGCCATATAAATGATTGGTTCGAGAGTAGAGTAGTAGCGGCGACAAAGTGAGACACAACTCAACGAGCATTCACTCAAATTTCTATCAGTGGTGAGTTTTTATTTTATATTAACAAAATATTGAACACTTTGCCAAAAGATTGATGAATTTTGTTTTTAAAAACCACTTTCAATTTGTTAACACTTAAGTCACGTGTCGTCTAGAATCCGATCATTATTTATATATTTTATTACACGTTTAGTAGCCGACACTAGTGGCTTGGCTAGCTCCGGTGTCTAGCTGAGGATGTCGTTGCATTTATGGCAACCTCCATTTCTTGTTCAATGTTCTCAAGATCTTCCTCAGTAGCTAAATTATCGAGAGCCTCTCTTGGAAGATTTTAAGTGGAAAGTCCCACTTTGGCTTTGCACCCAAACAAGGCTTTGTATGGCGATTGTTGGATTCCTTGATGAAAATTACGGTTTTTCATAAGCCCAATGAGGTGATTCATCTGTCTGCATCCATGTCATCATCATGTTTTGAACATCTTAGTTGGCACGTTCTACTGAACATTGGCTTTGGCTATGCCTTGGTTTTCTGTGAAATAGTTTAAGTTCATGCCACATGTTCTTTAGTTCAGAAATAACTTGATTCACAAATTCTTTTCCATTAGGATTTGGATTATTTATTTTGGCAGCCATCTGGTATTTCTGTCTTTGATCTGACGGTCCTTTTAGTCCATCTCGCATTGCATATAGAATGCTATACAAACAAGAGCCAAACAATACGTTACTCACAATGAAACCGCACTCAGAGTAACGAAAACGCGATAACAACTTTCTCTAGATAGAACATTGGCCAGGACATCCCGGTCAGTGCGTGCATTGGCCGGCCAATGTACGAAATACGCTCTTAGTGCTAAGTTCTTCGGGCTTTGGCCAAGAGAGCCGGCAAATGCGCACATTGGCCGGCCAATGCGGGCTTTGGCCGCACTTCGAGCTTTGACCGTAATATATATATATATATATATATATATATATATATATATATATATATATATATATATATATATATATATATATATAAAAATACCGATAGGCCTTAAGGCGTGAATTAATTGTTTCAAAACATTTTGCCATTGTTGTACTTGGTGACGTTCCCTTAAATAGTGTCATCCTCTAAGGTCCGCCCCCCCCCCCTCGATACGCCTCTGGCCAACACGACTACTGATTGTGACATTTTTAGAAGTTTTCTTTAGTCAATTTGTATTGATCATCCGCACAGATTTGTGACAATACAAAGTCATAACAGACAACATGAAGCTACTATTACTGATCATCCTGCTGGTATGCCTTGCTCTAGTCTATGTGGACTTATCATTTGCAGAAAATTGTGAAGACTATCTTTCGTCACCACGTAAGGGTTGATACTATAATTTGTAGAATATTTAGTATAGAAATGGTCACATTTTACTTTATTTATAATAAAGTTTGATCTTTTGAACACTTATTTCATGCGTATTAAGAAAAAGAACGTTTCTGTTAAAAAAATATATTTTTTTTTTGTATTGCAGTTGGTCAATTTGATTATCTTCTGTGTATGAAAAAAAAAACCCGAACAGTTTTTAGACAACACTTGGGACAACACTTGGGACAACACTTGGGACAACACTTGGGACAACACTTGGGACAACACTTGGGACAACACTTGGGACAACACTTGGGACAACACTTGGGACAACACTTGGGACATCACTTGGGACAACACTTCGGACAACACTTGGGACAACTTTTTGGACAACACTTGGGACAACACTTGGGACAACACTTTGGACAACACTTGGGACAACACTTGGGACAACTTTTTGGACAACACTTGGGACAACACTTGGGACAACACTTGGGACAACACTTGGGACAACACTTTGGACAACACTTGGGACAACACTTGGGACAACTTTTTGGACAACACTTGGGACAACACTTGGGACAACACTTTGGACAACACTTGGGACAACACTTTGGACAACACTTGGGACAACTTTTTGGACAACACTTGGGACAACACTTGGGACAACACTTTGGACAACACTTGGGACAACACTTGGGACAACTTTTTGGACAACACTTGGGACAACACTTGGGACAACACTTTGGACAACACTTGGGACAACACTTGGGACAACTTTTTGGACAACACTTGGGACAACACTTGGGACAACACTTGGGACAACACTTGGGACAACACTTTGGACAACACTTGGGACAGCACTTGGGAAAACACTTTGGACAAACGCATGACCATAGCTATATAGGGCTGGTAAGTAGGTCACCAAACAGTTCTATGGCTCAATAAAACCTGCATGAGCCAAATAACTGTTTATTGACCTACTTACCAGCCCCAGAAATCTCACTGACACATCGTTACGTGTAATCAAGTCGGCCGCACAACATATAAAACAAACATCCACAAATAGGTTACGAAACACAAGACTAAATAAACAAAAGCTCGTTACAATAATCAATCAGAGGCGTAGCTAGGGAAGGGCGGGTGGGGCGGCCGCCCCGGGCGCTGACCCTAAGGGAGCGCCAAAATGGGTGGAAAAAGTCATGGATGTGCCATGTATTACAGCAATGGCGCTCGATTGTTCACCTGAAAGGGGACTGTGAAAGCTGAGGGAGACTCAGAAACACACAGCAAAAAAAAACTACTGACAGGAAAAGAGAAAGTTGATAAATACTGGCTTTCTCTGGCGGTCCCATTTACCCTGGGCGTCAACGGTAAAAGATGATGAATTTAAACTACTAATTTAGTTACCATACTATTAAGTTTCCCTTTCAAACCTGACGGTCTATGGGGCAAGTGAAGTAGAGTTCACTTGTTTCTGTGACCTCGGCATATGAAGAGATAGTGTGGTCAGCACTATGCCCAGCCGCCTTTACTTTCCCTAACGTGAGTTAGGTACCCATCAGAGTTGGGTGGACCTAGGAAAGGTCAACTGACTTACGGGTCTACCGCTAGACCACTCCGTCCCATACCATACTATTGCCATTCTGATATAATCATGCAAAAATACAATTAAAAAACATTTTTTGCTGTACACCAAAAAACGCAAGTTGGCCGTCTTTAAATCAATAGATTCCTCATGTGTTGCATTTCAATGTTTTTAAGTGCAAAAAAAAAAAAAATTCTATCTTTAAAAACTTTGAATACATTTGGAAACTGCAGGAATTCACCTCCTAATTTTTATTTCTGTCTCAGCTTAACACAAAGTAAGAACAATAAGATTTTTTTGTTTTAATATTTGTGTATTTTTACAAGCTTTTATTTAACTTGCTAACTCTGTCTGTATGTATGGGTAAAAACGGGCGATCCCCTGGCAACGGTTATTTGCTAAGCCACCCACTTACTTATAATCTGGATCCGCCTATGTATGTCAAGCCTAACATTAAAAAGATACCAATGGTAGTACGACACGTATCATTTATCGACCGGCTAGACCTTAGTAATAATTGCTTATTTCGAAATTTTCTCGTTGTGGAATTTTAATTAATTACTCAGTATTTTAATTAAATTTGTGTATTAATTGAAAAATGTTCTATTCAATGTTATATCCTATATTACTTGTTACACAGACTTATTAACTGTAATTTGCAAATAACGAAGTGGACGGCCATTTTATTTTATTTTCTATATTATAGATTCCATTGCAGTGTTATTATTAAACGAGAAAAATGGCCCGTTGAGGAAGGATACAACGGGCGCTAGGTTGATAGTGCTGTCTATTTTCTCTAAACTAAAACCAAAACCAAAATAACCATCTTAATTCAATTTAACCGGAAACAAAAATTGACATTGAAAACGGATTTTTATCCAGAATTGGTACTTTAATTTTTACAAAATATAGTCATAGGCATATCCCTAAACCATGCACCTAATCTCATTCATGACATAAGTCGCATTTAGAGTTTCTTTCAGGCAACTCTCCTTGGAGGAGGGGGCTCAGCCCCCCCCCCCACACACCCCAAAACATGTCTACCGTCCCATTCAACGAAATATAATTATATATATTTTCCAGTGTCCGCCCCCTCCCAGAAAATTCTACCCCCGCCCCCCCCCCCCCCCAAAAATAAATTCAAGTACCCCCACTCCTCGCCTGGGAGGAAAAAGTCTGAAAGAAACACTGGTCGCATTTGTAGATCATACAAACTAAAGGAAGAACCTGAACGGGGCTTCGCCCCTGCCGGAAGAGATGCATGAAAAAAACTGTGCACGCTAAACACTTTTTAGATTAGAAAAAGTTCCCTCCTCCGGGGAGGAAAAAGTCTGAAAGAAACACTGGTGTCGCGCTTAGCCACTACCCGAAGAATTGCATGAAATAATCTGCAAGCAAAACCACTTTTAAGTTTAGACACATTAATTAGGCGGTAATTTTATTATAGAGTATCGATGAAGAAATTTCTTTTGAGATGGGGAGGGGGGGGGGGGGGGCTCAGACGTTCTTACGCGGGGGTGGGGCTTCGCCCCTACCCGAAGAATTGTATGAAAGAAACTCTTCACGCAAACCACTTAGATTAGACTAAATTTCCTTTTTATTCAATGTTTACTCGAGAATCAATGAAGTCATATATATATATATATATATATATATATATATATATATATATATATATATATATATATATATATATATATATATATATATATATATATATATATATATATATATAATGTATGTATATGTGTGTGTGTCGGCCTACATAGACATAATTAAAATATATGGCAGACACGGGTACATGTATGTGTATAAGCTTTAAACTTTAATCACTGCAGACTTAGTAGCAAGGATGATTATCTATAGTCAGTTAATAATACAGTTTTTATAGTTAGCACGATGACGTCAGGGTGTCACCCCCACCCCACCCTCTTGTAGAAATTGTTGATTTGTACTTAAAAGACTATTTAACTTAAATTAATCACTAATGGATCTGGCAAAAAAGCATTTTTCTTCTGTACATTTTGCAATTTTTTGGCTCGGTGTCACCTCCCTAAATGGTGTCACCCATTGCGATCCGCACCCCTCTCGCTACGCCTCTGATATAAACCACTTTATTGTTAGAAACAACGTTATGTTAAGGTGTTCCCTTTGAATCCAGTTTGTGATATAAATGAAAATAACTGGCATGCATGAGTAATTAAAGCAATAGGATTTATAGTCTTATAGAGATTAAGCATTACTTAAACAAAATGAGTTTCCTGTCTAATCCTTGTTTGATTAAATACAAACGCAAATATTTTTCTGGCGAATAACATACCTGATTCAACTGAATCACGAGCGAATACAAACAAACACATACCGCAATCTCGCACCTACGCACTCAGACACACTTGCAATCAAACACAAATACAAACACACACTCACACATTATCAGCCAGTGAGGAAATAAAGGGGGGGGGGGGAGGCTAATAAACAACACTCCGGAGACTCGGTGTATTTTTGGTCCCCACAATTTCTTTAACAGGCAATATTAAGTTAAATTTGTATAAATTTAATTTTGTACACATTTGTATAATGTATTCTTTTTATACTAGTTAAATGTAAGTTCTTACCGGGCGCCGGGAGGGGTCGCTACGCCTCTGTAATCCATAAAAGTTTAATGACTATACGAACACTAAAACACAGTATATCTATATATATAATTCTCTTCTGGGAGCCGTTAGAAAACAAGCTGCAAGCGCCTCCTTGCAGTCCCCTCTCTTTCTCTCTATCACTATCACTACCACCCCCACCCCGCCCCCACATTGTCTGGTGAGCTGTGGTCACGTTGTTTACATTTTACAATCATAGAGACGGGTTTGGTGACGGCTATTAGGGGCAGATAATTTAGTTTGAAACGATTTTAAACTTAGAGGAGGTAACTAAGAGGAGGCTGCTTTCACGTGTGGGGGGGGGGGGGGGGAAGGGGGGTTTAGTGTTTTTAAGCAAATATTTTCAGTGGCAGCATTGGTACTGTCGAATTCACAAATTATAAATTACTGAAAAGTAGAAAAAAAAAACAACTAAATAGCGGCGTATGATACGCAGCGGGTTGGCTCGTTCTAACTAAATGACAATCTACACAAACACTAAAACACAGTATTATGCTGGACCTAGACAAACAACGCTGTCACACCCGTTAAACATGTGAACAAACAAATACAAACCGGACTATGACCACGTGATTAATGACAGCTAAACACACGAGTAGTGAACAATAGGGACGAGTTATTACGTACAAACAACATTCACCATTTTTACAACACCAACGGTAGGGACAAGTTATTACGTACAAACAACATTCACCATTTTTACAACACCAACGGTAGGGACAAGTTATTACGTACAAACAACATTCACCATTTTTACAACACCAACGGTAGGGACGAGTTATTACGTACAAACAACATTCACCATTTTTACAACACCAACGGTAGGGACGAGTTATTACGTACAAACAACATTCACCATTTTTACAACACCAACGGTAGGGACAAGTTATTACGTACAAACAACATTCACCATTTTTACAACACCAACGGTAGGGACGAGTTATTACGTACAAACAACATTCACCATTTTTACAACACCAACGGTAGGGACAAGTTATTACGTACAAACAACATTCACCATTTTTACAACACCAACGGTAGGGACATGTTATTACGTACAAACAACATTCACCATTTTTACAACACCAACGGTAGGGACGAGTTATTACGTACAAACAACATTCACCATTTTTACAACACCAACGGTAGGGACGAGTTATTACGTACAAACAACATTCACCATTTTTAC